ACAGAAAAGTTAAGAGGCATCCCCACTTTATATTGATTAAAGCTTTTCATTCAGCATTTGAGAGACCTGGTTTCGTTTCTTTGGTATTCATTCTTTGTGCTGGAGGATGGGCAACCCTTCTCTACTAGTCAGGAGTCTCCAATGAGAAGCTGTATTGGACAGGAGTAGTCTTCATTTCTCTCACTGAAGATGGGTCACTATCCAGTAAAGAACACAGCTGAGCCTGCCTGCATCTGATGCCAAGGCATTCTGGGAGGAAACGGTCCCTTTAAGAACTGTTTTTATGTATTGTCTAAGGAATGAAGCCAGAATATGTTCAGTTGCAGGAGAATACTGTACCTACAGAATAATATGCCCTCTTGAACGATTGATGATCCTGGATCATCTACATCCAGGGTGAGTGCATTATCTTTTTTGTGTGTTAACGAAAAAATAATTAGGAACATTTCTCTTTCTTTGGTTGCACTATAAATATCACCTATCACTGTGTTTTGTAATGTGCCTCATTAGCCTGCTGTGCACTCAGTGTACTCTTAGAGCAATTGCTTTCTTTTTATAAGTTTTTAGTGGAAATAGAGGAAAATCTGTTTTCAGGATGCTGATCATCCTTATGGGCATCTAAAGCACTGAGCTGGTCAGTCTGTTAAAAGGATTGTGCATGCTTGTAGAATTAGACTGTTTAGCATCAAAGGAACTTTTCAAGGTCCTTGACTGTGGCTCAGGGCAGCCTAGGTGCTTCTGTGACTGATACGTATGCAAGGCTTTAAGAGTAACAATCCTGGAATTAGTTGCCTAAATTTTATCAAGATCCCATTGAAAGAGTCTGAGCCTTAGAGATATTTAGGTTTCTCTTCCTCATGTTGATGTTGGTGGGAGATGCTCACTGCAGCAGAAATAAGAATCTGGCCCTGTGGAACCGTGCTGAAGTGGGCAGGAGCTGCTCCACACAATTCCAGGAGACGCAGTACCCCAAGCACCTGATGCAAGCAAAGCTGCTTGGAGGTACTTCTTGTTTTTAAGTTTGGGCAATTGTATCTAAGCAGAGGTTTACAGCTGCTGGGGGTTTTATCTTTGAAAAATATCCGGATCTTTCATTCCTTCAGTGAAACAACAAGCACACATTCACCTAATGAATTAAACTTCAGTGTTCTTTCATGACTTAAGTAAAAAAAACCAAAAAACAAACAAACAAAAAAACACAACCAAAAAAACCCAAACAAAAAAACCCCAACCCAAACAAAACAAAAACAACAAAAAACCCTAACAACTTTAAAAGCTCATAAGTTGAAACTTGTACTATAGGATACTAGTGAATTAACTCTTGCACAGTGGAGTTTCTTTTTTCAGTGTAAGATCTATTCCACAGGAGGTTTGGATACATGGAAGCATAGGATCAGATCTGTAACTTGAGGAATACGTGAAAGAATAAGGTAGCAAATCTATATGCAGAAATTCTGCCTCTGTATTTCTGGAAAACTTACACCTTGTAAGGATTTAATGCATTTAAGATTTTTCAACATAATGCCAACCTGTTGAATATGTCTTTTAAAGTTGTTAAAGATAACATTAAATTAACATGTAGTGAAAAAACTCCCTGGAAAAAGTTATTTAAATGTGGATATTTTCTTGGTATGAGTTGGCAACATTCTATAACTTATTGTCTCTTACAGCAAGGGGGGAGGAAAAAAAAAAAATCAGATGACTTATCCAAAGTTACAGTACTGGCAAGTTAAATTATATTCCTTATAATTAAATGATTTTTTAAAGTACGAAAATATTTCAAAAATAATTGAAAATCATTTCTACCTACAGATTTTAGGTATCTTTCATTTGTGTTTCTGCATTTAACATTAAGATAACATAGGTTTCAGCTAGCTTGAATCATCAAAGCTGAATAGCATTTGAGTGAAAGAAAGTTTAAGTAGTATTTGGAATAACTGTTCATAAAGCCTCTGTTATTTTTAACATCCAAACTGGTAATTTTCCTTTCTGAACTCCCTCTTCAGCTTCCTATCTAATATGATTGAAAACAAATGTGGATTCTCTTAATTCCTGTATAATTGTACTCTAATTACAAAATTCAGTAGAACGTCTTTATGAAAGAGAACTGCAAATAATCTCTTTATACAAGCATTGCTCTGTAACTACTAAAAATATCTTATAATATGCTAACTTAACACACAAATCTTCAATTTCTTTCTTTAAAAGAAAGAATAGCACAAATTATAAAGATTAAATTAGGCCATTTAAATATAAAAGAGATGTAACTCAGTTGAGTTTGGACCAATGAAGAGAAAAAAACCCAAAACCCACCAACAAACCACCCCCCCCGACCCAATTCTAACCTGTGTAGAAGTAAACATGTAATGTTTTATCTAGTGGGTAAAGATATTATTGGAAGATCTTTAGAAGACTAAGATGCAGGGTAAGAGATTTCTTTGCATATTCTATTGCTATTGGCAGCCATTAGCCCTGTCCAATAAATCTCATTTTTGTTGAATAAAAGATATCTGCACAAGCTGTATAAACAAATACGAATATATGCTGAAAAGTGTTGCCTTAATACTTAATGTTGAGGGCAATGAGAAATTAAAGAGTGAGATATTCTATGCTGTGGTAGCCTCACCTCCTGAAGTGGGGACTTCTTAGGACACCTTCTTTGGCTGCAGTTCTCAGTCTGGAATGCCATCCCCACAAGGACTAGAAGGGCTCTGTCTGATTGCCCTCTGGAGCCTAATTTATGCTTCTCAGGGGAAAGCCCTTGAGGAAGGAGGGGCATGTGGTGTTTTCCTAAGACATCAAAGGAGGTGGTTAAGTAATTCTGTGCTGCACTTCACTTACATACTACTGAAGAATGAAAAGGAAGCATCTTCAGAGTGTAGGGGTCATTTATGTCTACATTTTGTGATTGAAATTCCTGAAAAAAAGCTTCAAGGGAGAGTAGAATGAATTATCAAGATAATATCAGTATTTTAGTTTTTATGCATACCTGTTGTCTTGCCTGCTTTGATAATTAAATCCTCTGAATTCAGAGCTGTATTTTCTGAAAGGCTTTTATAATTATATTGTTTGCAGAGTTTTAAGTTTTCTGACCTACGTTATTCATAGATAAAAGTTTTGGGTAATTTTTGTTAGCTTCCTATCTTAAAGTAGTTTCTACATTAATGAAACTTAAATTGTAAACCTACATGAACAGTATTTTAAAATGATAAATTGAAAGGTTTTGCTGAGAGAAAAATGATTTAATTTAGAAACAAACATTCTTATTTACCGGAATTGTGTAGCAGACATGCAAAAGGCAAGTTGTGGCCAAATCAGTACTCCTCTTTTTTCAAATATAATTATAGCTGCCTAAGAGAAACATGCTATCCATTGTATTGCGTGATAAATTAGATTTATTGCTTTATTCTGTAAAGATTTAATTTTAAACACATTGACAGTTTCAATTAAACCTTTAGGATTACACATATAAATGTTTAAGGACACATAGGAATCCTTGTGGTATTGAGGACAAGTAAGTCAGCTGAGATTCTGTTTAACAAAGTGTAGTTATTGCTATTGTGAAAAATATTTGTTACCTAGCAGGTTAATTTATTATAGTTGCTTTTTCTATATTTTGAAAACTTTTCTCCAGCTGTTGTTCTCAGGCAAATATTTGCCATGTTTTGTACTGAAAGCTGTATGATCTGAACTTCGTGTCCTGAAAATAGAAGATACACGTATTTAAAAGTGCTTGGTTAAGTTAGCGTGTAATGCTAATGACACAGATGATGATGTAACATAAAAGGAAGAGAAATATCTTTGGTGCTTTTGAAGAAAGTCTATATTTAAATTCTTTTTTTTCACATCCACTTAGAAATTAAATTTTGGTTTGAATATTAATTCTCTACCTGATTGTGTAGTTTAAAATAAAGTACGGAGGAAATCCTAGAACAAATTAAGCCCCTTCTCTCTCCAGACAGAAAAGGAATTGTCTCCATTGACCAAAACTTTTTGATAGGATGATGTAAAATAGGAAGATTAATTACAAGATTTAAAAAAAAAAAAAGTGCTTACATTCACGATGCTCATGGTCCAAGATAAGTCAGCTGAGTAGCCACCTAATTTGGAAGTGCTTCAGCTGTTCCTCGTTTGACTGACAGTTCCCTAGGACCTGCAGCTCTGCTCTGTGGGTGAACAGGACAGCCCTGATTTGGAGAATTAAATTCAAACCTCACTAAAGTCTCAGAGCAGTCCAGCAATGCAGCAGAGGAATGGCCTGTTCTCCAGAAGAGCCCGATCTGTCAGACACGCTCTGATCACGGCTAGTGCGTACTGCTGGGGGGGGTTTCACAAAATGTATCTGCAGCCCCATTGGTTTTACGTTGGAGGGGGGAGGGAGGTCCTAGAGCCGGTCGTGTACATCATAGCAACTTTCTGGAGGAAACAGAATATCGGCGCGGTGGGGCAAGGCCCTGCCTCCGAGGACTGCACATAACCTATAGCGCCTACTTTATACCTCTTCTCTTGCCTCTTTGTCACATTTAGCAAGATACCCAAAGCTCATGGAAGGGAGGTGCCAGAGCAAACATGCCTTCGTAGCCTAATAGCTGGAAACATGCATACCCACGATTTTGCATTTTCCTTTCTTTAATGCTTATGATAAGCATCACGCTTACATGAAAATAGCAATATACGTACTGGAAACAGAAGGCTGCTAGAGCATGTTCTTGTGAGATCGTAATATAATGCTGTCTCCTGTGTGGATACGGATGGCTGAGCTCAGGTATTTGTCAATAACGACATCAATGAATGAACAAGACGTGAGAGATGTTTGGCGTCAGATCAGTAACGCTCAGTACGAGAGAGCTTACACAGAAATTTCAGATATGTACAGTAGATGCGTCATAATACAGAAACTTATTCCTATAATCATAAGGTCCATTTTGGGCGAGCTTCTTCTGGTTTTCTTATTACTTTGAGATTTTTAGTAAAGTAATGAAAAACACTTCTCTTTTCAGTGTTCTGTTTCCTGTGGAAAAGGTTTGAAGTTTCGTGATGTGCATTGTTTTAATAGCTTGCAAGCTAAAATAGAAGAAGGAAACTGCAGACATTTGAAAAAACCACGGACATACAAAATATGTAGAGCTGGAAGATGTCCTGCTTGGAAGGCCAGCAGATGGAGAGAGGTATGTAAAATCTGCTATAATTATGTTCTCTACATGAGTACAAGACAAGATCATATTCATGACACGCTGCTTCAACAGAAATAATTGTCAGGAAGTTTTTTTGTATGCACATCGCAATGAAATCTACAAATTAGCAAGTAGTTTATTATATTTTCTTTTTCTTTCTTTTAGGAGTAATTAAAAGTAAATATCTGTGCAAACTGAAAGTATTTGGTAATCTGAACCTTGGACTGGATAGGTACTTAGGACTTTCCTCAACTTACCTTGTAAATTCAAAATAACAGTAAATTATTGAAGTTTACTTACCTTCATTGATGAATTCAGTAGTATCACTGCAATTGCTATCATAGTCTGAATATTGAAGTGAAGCCGGGTTTGTGGGGGAAGGACAGGAAAAAGGGCTTGTGGGCACAAATACTGCCCTTTTCCCTGGTTGGGTCTTGTAAAAGATCTCTTACGTTGTTGTGAAATTGTGTGTAACTGAGCTCATGGCAATATTTTGCATTTCACTCACTCTTTCAAAATATAATTCCCCACATTTGATAAAGACACGTTACCACTCTCCACAATTTGGCAACACTTGATAGATCAATGTCTACTTTATAATTAGGCTTGAGTCTTTAGGAGGGCTTTGGGACCTAATCGTGCTTCTGACTGGTGTAAGAAGGGGCTGTCTATCTCAGCAAGCCTTAGTGTTGTAGTGAAATAACTTTGGCCAGGAAGGAGGAAAAGAGGCATGTGGCAGGAAGGATTTGAACCTTTTTAAGCTCATCAGGATTCAAAATCCATAGTACTCCCTGCAAAAGAAAAAATCCTCAAAATACTGCACCATTTGCAAGATTTTTCTAACCTGAAAGACTGAGATTTTTTTCTTTTATTTTAATATTTGCATTTTAAAACAACAGAAGAGACTGTCAGTCTCTAATAAAGGAATGATGTAAACTCAGAACTTCAACTGTTTGATCTTGCAAAAATGTAAACTTTTGTTTTGCATATGCCTATAGTCATTGTTCCTACTGTGAATCAAGATAAGCAGAAAGATCAGTCTAGGTAACTCGGATGCATTTATTTTCCGTATTTCTTACAAATTTTGATTTTAATTGTAGTTTTACATGTTCAACATATAAATTTCTTCAGATACAATGAAACACTAGTATGGTAGGGGCTGTGAAGTATATTTTAAATAATATCCTAAGAACTTGTAATAATGGCAACTGTACCACCTTCTGGGGACTGTCTCATTTCACATTGACACAGCTAATTTTGATCAATTTTAGTGCTCTGTGTCCTGTGGAGTGGGGATTCAGCAAAGGGATATCTACTGTCAGCTGAAGGGCCTGGGTCAAGTCAGCGAAGCAACGTGTAACCGTGATACCCGGCCCGCTAGCAAGAGGCATTGCTGGCTGCCTGCCTGTGTGCAGTACCGGTGGTTGGCAGATGAATGGGAGGATGTAAGTAAGGCTGTCAACTCGTATGAAGTAACTGAGGGATGTCATAAGTTTTCTTTTTTGTGTTTTATTTTCCCCCCTCACATTTGGATACATTTCTAATAGATGTTATGTTTCAGACTAACAAGTGACCATGCTGGATATTTTGAAGGTCAAGCTTGGAAAACTAAAAAGAGTGACAAAAAATGTCAAAGGCTTTGTTTACTCTCTTACACAGGATTTGGTTGTCTACTGTTATAGACAAAAGCTCTGGTGGAGTTCTGAGCAGGTCCCTGTTGACAGAACTGTGTAATTTGAATACAAAGTTCTTTACATAGTGCATAAAATGTTTAATAAAACCTCATTATGAAATATCATTTTAAAAACCACACTTTTAAAGAATAGAAATACAAATGAAATGTCAGCTGGAAGTAAAAACCTCAGAGATAAAAACCTTTGGAAAACAGTGTTTTCAAGAAGATCTGTATGGAAGACTTACCAGAAAAGATAAGAAGCAAATTAAAACTCAGCATTCTCCTACCAAATATGAATTTTCATATTTAAGAAAATCTAAAGATACCTTCAGGAGAGAGCTGTCATTTTTAAAGACATAACGCCTATTTTCTACATGTTAAAAATTTAATAACTTTTGTATCCCTGTATGCAAGCATACAAACATAGAGAGAGAGAGAGGGGGAGAGAAAACCAAACATTATGTATAATACCTGAAATGGTGTACAGAAGAGCCTGTCTTTTACTGTAACATTAAACAAAAACCCAGTTTGTGCAGTTGTGGCATCTCAATAATCTGCACTGTTAAATTTCCTAGGGCAAACCCCCTGAAACTTTGAATATGAAGACTCAAAAGCCTTAGGGACACAATGCTGTAGAAGTGACTACTCTTAATATATAAATCATTCATTGGTGCTCTGCAAAACCTGGATTATATTCATGCAGTTCAGACATATATATTCCTCTGTTAAGCTATGTTAAGGGATAGCTGACAATACATGTTTCTTCCAAGTGTTCTCTCCTCATATGAAGCTGTTAAAATCATGAATTTAGTGGAAGTGGCTCAGAAAGCCCTTTTAGCACAAATACACACTTTCAGAGAACAAGGGTGAATTTTCCTTTCCCGTGAAACATTTGTATATTCCAGCTGGGTATTCAGAGCTCTCCACTACAAATGCATTGTGTTTCACCACATCTTCTGGCTAGCTCATAACTTCTTCCACATAGATATTGCTGTTTGCTTGAAATTCCTGTTCAGTTCCCTTCTCTCACTAGATTCATATGTAGCCCTGTACATCTAGTATTAATAGCAGTTCAAGTGTTTATCCATCTGTATTCCACTCCTGGTTCAGTACGTTCCCCACTGAACTCGCCATGTTTTGCCCAGCTGTCTCAGCTCTGAGTGCTCGTGTGTCATTTCCTCGCCTCACCAGTCACAGCACAGCAGAAAAGTTTCCAGATCTAGCATTCTCCAGCTTGCAGCTGGGAGGCGGGCTGATAGCAGCAGCCAGCATTCTCCTACCAAATACGCATTTTCATACTAAAGAGAAGAATGTCTACAAGACTAATGTATAAAGCATAATGAAAAGGATTCTTCTGCCTGTCCCCATTGCTTCATGAGTGGCTTATTCCTTATGTGCCTAATATTCTGAGCTGCTCCATGCCATTAAAATATCAGGTGTTTCTGTAAGTTACCCCAGCCAAATGTAGCCATGCTCCATCCCCTGATTCAAGTCCACAGCAAGGAAGTTACCAAGAGGTCGGAGCCAGGTTCTCCACAGCGTCCCATGGTGGGAAAGCAAGAGGCAATATGAGTAAGATGAAGCCAGAGAGGTTCAAACTGGATATCATGAAAAACTTTTTCTCCATGAGGACAATTCAGGCAGATGAATGGGCTGCCCAGGGAATTTGTGCAGTCTCTATCCTTCTGAGGTTTTCAAGACCTGACCTGATAAACTTAGAGGTTTCCTCTAGCAGAGCTGTTTTACCATACAGCATCTGTTTTTTACACTTCAAGTTGCCTCTTTGAGTCAATAATAATAAAATTTGAACAATAGGCTTGATCCATGTATCAGGCTTGATGAGTCTTCTAACTGACTGTTATTGGGTTCGAATTAGTATTAAGTTAGGTTCAGGTCTGACTGTTGTAGGTGGTGTTATTGATTATTGCCTCTGCTGAGACTGGAGTTTGTGTATTTGAGCCTTCGTTCTTTAACACAGCAAGTTCAAACAGGTTAGTTTAAGCACCCATAGCTGGGGACATGCTGTTGACATGTATTACATAGACTGTGCCTCCGCTTTTCTGGGTTCTGGTAGCAGCAAGTGTCTTATCCTGTCCCGGCAGAACTGCAATGACTTTCCATCCCACCAACCTGCCACAAAGTCTGAGGACACTGAGGGCAAAGGCACAGGCTCGAGAGATACTGCTGCCCAAGCTGCTACTGGCTTCATTAATATGCAGTTTTGTTTTCTTTTGTTTTATCTGTGTAATATCACGTACATACTTCCAGGGATTCTTTTTGTTTTGTTTTGAAGGCCAACTTATTTCTTTCATGTCTCACTTAAATAATTTTTTGGCTCATTCCTTTTCCTACAGAAGAGCTTTTTCACTCAACCTGTCATCTTGACATTTTAATTTTCTCCTCAGTCTCATACAACAGTTAGGGTGTCATGTCATTGTGCACTATTGGCTTTTTAGCTGATTGGAAGTACCTGAACTTTGAAAACAAAAAGTAAAGGATTTTGATTCAGTGAGTAATTCAGTCCGGTGCTGATGACAGATGTCATAAAAGTTGTTGCTGTCTGGGTTTTACTGGTGTGTGGCAATTAGCAAATAACTTTGTTCTGTAAATGGCTAATTTAAGTACAAAAATTGTGGCTGTTTTTCTCACACTCAGTGCTCGGCATCATATAGAAGAAAGGAAATATACCGGAAGGTTAAGTGTGTGGATGAAAACCAGCTCCAAGTGGATGAAAGCTTCTGTAATCCTGCCACAAAGCCTCCATCAACCAAAAACTGCAGGACAGCTCCCTCTAAATACGTTGTGCTTACAGGAGAACTGTCACAGGTAAACTAATTATACTGCTCGCACATTTTTTATGTAACTTTACATTTAAGAATGTTATATTGCTGTAAAACATACATTATGTGTGCAGAGAAAAAAAAAAATTTGTATTTTCATCTGAACATGGGTGCCTAAGCTTTCTGCACATTGAACCTTCCAATCAGCCATGATTTATTGTAGTGACTGTTATCAGTCTCCTGGTAGCCCCCCTGGGACCTATGAACACCAGCTAGAGGACAGCTGCCCCTACCACAGGATTCCTTTGCTGATTTCCAGGAAACTGTCTTGCAAGCTGATCTCACTGAAGTAAACAGAAACCTTTTCCTTGATTTCAGTGAAGTGGTGGATCAGTGCCTTGTTTCCCTTGCACACCTGCACTGCCTACCCGTGCGTGTCTGTGCATGTGCTGCAGCTGAGAGGGGACTGCTCTGGAACGTCTGTGAGCTCTGAGAAAAGGGCAGCATGGGACTTTCCATCTCCTTGAGGTGCTGGAGCGTGTCCAGAGAAGGGCAACGAAGCTGGTGAAGGGTCTAGAGAACAAGTCTTCTGAGGAGCGGCTGAGGGAACTGGGGCTGTTTAGCCTGGAGAAGAGGAGGCTCAGGGGAGACCTCATCGTGCTCTACAACTACCTGAAAGGAGGTTGTAGCGAGGTGGGGGTTGGTCTCTTCTGCCAAGTAACAAGCGATAGGACGAGAGGAAATGGCCTCAAGTTGCGCCAAGGGAGGTTTAGACTGGACATTAGGAAAAACTTCTTCACTGAAAGAGTGGTCAGGCCTTGGAACAGGCTGCCCAGGGAAGTGGTGGAGTCACCATCCCTGGAGGTATTTAAAAGACGTGTAGATGAGGCGCTTAGGGACATGGTTTAGTGGGCATGGTGGTGTTGGACTGACGGTTGGACTTGATGATCTTAGAGGTCTTTTCCAACCTTAATGATTCTATGATTCTCTGATTCCTTGCATGCGTAACTATTGTAGACCTTCACTTCTGCACACTGACGTACCAGCCCCGAGGTGGCACACACGGGATTACAGGTTTTTGCCAAAGCCAGGATCAGGACTTACCTGTGATTGCAATGCTGCGGAAAGATTCAGTTTCATAGAAATAATGCCTGTGCTTGGGGATTTTATTTCAGTGCTCAGCAAGCTGTGGATTTGGTTACCGGCAGAAGATCACATACTGCGTTGGAATCCACTCTGTTCAAAATCAGCATGCCCATGGCCTTCGAGCTGTAGCGTACCGAGAATGCCCGGTGGAGCCATCCCCATACATTTATAAATGTAATATCAAAGGATGTTCACAAGCAGCTACCTGGAGAGCAGGAAAGTGGACCAAGGTGAATACAGATGTATTCATTTTTGATAGCTGCCTCAAACACAAATGAATGCCAAGACTAATTTGCAGACATAATTATGTTAATTATTTACTACCTTCTAAACTAACTCTTGATGGCTATCCACGTCTAGTGCTCAGTGTCTTGCGGAGTGGGGGTAAAGGAGAGAACCGTAAAATGTACAACTGAAAATGGCTTATCCAGTGACTTGTGCCTGCCACGTTTAAAACCAGAGGCCAGAAAGATTTGCCATGAAGAAGAATGTAAGTGACAGCTGCGATTTTCAGCTGAACCTAATGTTTTCCCAGGTTATTTATATAAAAGCTATAAATTTATTTGGAGCACAATTATGTAAAAGTAAGTCCTAAAACTAAGCTCTATTTGTGAAATATTAATATGTTTTAATCATTCATTTTGAAGGTGAAATTTTTACCACCTGCAAAGATATCCAGGTCAAAAAAGGGATTAGAAAGGATGGTGAATACCTACTTAACATTAAGGGAAGGATGATAAAGGTACTCTTAATATTTTTGAGTTTTTATAAGCACATATTTTTGTGAAATAATACTTTTCTAATAAAGATTTTGCTAAAGGGTTGTATTTTCTTTTGCAGATTTATTGCTCAGGCATGCACTTAGAGAATCCCAAAGAATATTTGACATTGGTAAAAGGTGAAGCAGACAACTTTTCTGAAGTATATGGATTCAGGTACAAAAGTGGTTTTGTAACTTTATGAAGTGCATTTATTTCCTCCAAAATAAAAGAATAAAATAATACTTACTTTTGTGAAAACAGATGAGTAGAAATTTTTTTCCTTGATTTTCTGTGTTGAATATCCAGGTATATGAACACAGAAATGCAGAAATGTGGATACTTCCAGGCTGAAATTGTGTTAATTGCACTAAATGATTATAAACATTTTCTATCTTGACTTTAGTAGAAATGGTGTAGAAATTAGTGTTTCAGTTGAGCCAAGATTAATAGCTGAGCTTCTTGTTCAGTAACTGTTCTTTAATATTTTTTATGCAGCATAGTGCAATGCAATTATTTTTCACTACGATGCTATGTTATGGAAAAATGCCAAAAGGAAAACTAAATCTCTGCTATTCTCTAGGTTGCAGAATCCATATGAATGTCCTTTCAATGGAAGCAGAAGGCAAGACTGTGCCTGTCGAAATGATTACCTTGCAGCTGGCTTCACGGTTTTTAGCAAAATAAGATTTGATGTAGCCTCCATGCAAGTTAAAAGTAAGCATTTTTGGCAGTTTTAGCCAATGTGAGCATTCTATTGAAATTGCACTTGTCATGATTACGAAATTATCATTTGACCTAATTATAGATCCAATTATGCCAATTTTGGACAAGCAAAATTCTTATTTCCTTTAGGAATTCAATGGGAATTTCAAAGAAAAAAAAATGGAGAAACCACTGCTACTTCCCTTGTTAGTTTGTCCCAAGTGGTCAAGTGGCATGAATCTTGCAGATTCGTACATGTGAACTAGCTTCAGTTTCTAAGGTTTTATTCCCATTATTCCATTTCCTTTTAGTCCCTGGCATATTTTTCTAGAGAAAATCTACCTATGCTGTAGTTAGTCCCGTCTCAGACCTTGATAGACATACTAAATGGATGGGGGAATCTTGCAGCACTTTCAAGCTTCTGCCTGAAGGTGGCATGGTGGCCCACAACCAGCCCACCTGGAGCTGCACCCAAGTGTGCATCCGTCCTCCTCCTCACCCCCTCCTATCTCAGAAAGGAAACTGTGCTTATGGGTTGGTTTGATGTCGCGTTAACCAAAATGGACTATTTAAAACATAGTTTGTAAAAAACCAAACCAAACCACACACAAAACCCCCCCCAAACAAACAAAAAACAAAAAAAACCTCACCCAAAACAAACCAAAAAACTCCTATGTTAAATGCCTTTTCACACTGTTTTCACCTGACCTTCTAATGCAGCAGTTTCAGTGTTGAGTAATTTTCTGTTTTCTAGCCACAGATTTTCTTTTTGCTCAGACTATACTTGGGAGAGCAGTTCCGTTTGCTACAGCTGGAGATTGCTACAGTGCTGCCAGATGTCCACAGGTATTCATGATTTCTTATCCCCTTGAAATGTGCATGTAAAAGGAAGGAAAAAAAAAAATCTGTGTGACGGGTTTAGAACTATAAGGTTCTAAAACAAGCTCCTATTTTGTCTAGTCTATTAAATTAATAAGTAATTTTATTCTAACTCCTTTCTCTCCTGTCTACCTTTTTTTTTCCCCCCCCTGTTTCTCCCTCAAATTGTTTATTCCACACTTTCCTTCTAGGCTCCATGTATGTATAATCAGCTTTCTACGTATTTCATGTATTGCTCTCCCTCCCGCTAGACGTAATGTATCCTTAGTTTCCCCTAATCCCTTCTCAATCTTTGCTCCTCCAGTGACTTTCCTTTTCGATGATCCTGCAGAATTTTTATCTTTTGTGTTTCTCTCCTGACTTTTCATGTCTTTGAAGACTACCAGAGGAAATCAATCCTGTTCAGCAGTATAATTTAAAATTTATACATCCATTGGTGTGTCTACACCAGTGTTTCAGCTTGGATTGGATGGTACTTTTTAAGTGAATCTCTGTATTGTCCCAGTTTAGTGTTTGTTGGCTCACATCACAGAGCAGTCTTGGAAGACATGAACAGGATGCCTTCTGGATAAAACTAAATCAAACTATGAGCTCCAGAAGGGCCTTAATGCACTCCAACTGCTAACGAGGATTCAGTCTATGGGACTAGATGGGAGTTAGTCCAAAGTAAAACCCTGATCTGTGTACTGTATACAGACATTGGGCTCTCTGGCCCAACATTTTTGGTCTACAGATCTGCTCATGCTGCAGTGTCCTTCTTGCTAATGCAGCCATAGCCCTAGTCTGAACTAGTCAACCTAGGCTGCCTTTGGAGTCCATCGGCAGAAATGAGATTCCCTAGAAAACAGTTTAGCTAATCTTACCCTATTAGACACCTTAGGATGAGGTCAACCGTCCTCTGGAAGTGCGTATTTCTTTTCACTGATTGTGAAGGGAGTTAAGATTGACTACCTCAGACTTGCATGGAGGTAAATCCCTGTTGTCCATCTATCCTAGGTGCTTAAACTTAAGACAGGCTATGTGCGTGGATGCATTCAGGGGCAGCTAGAGACAATTTATGTACAATTTAGGTACAAATGAAGTATCTGAGTACCTGACTTAACCTGACAAGAAAACAGTTGGAGTTCATTACAGTATTGGATATCTTCAACCTGGAAACCCTTTGGGCTTAGTACAATACACACCTATTTGCCATCTGCAACTTCTGTTGGGAAGTCATTCTGCTTACGTGGTTTTACACTGATGCATTTCCATCTATAAGGTCTGCACTGATACTAACACTTTTAATGCAGTAAAAAAGCCTCAGTTCCTGCATTCCCAGTCCTTGAAATCTGTTCCTGGCCTTCAGTATGCTGCATGCCATGACAGACAGCTGTTAAGCTGTCATTATAATTGTACACAGCACTTCTCATTTGTCTTTGCAAAATGGTATCACTGTGAATGAAGCTACTTTGGGCCTGTTAATTTTGGAAAGCATTCCACACCGCTTGTATGAATTTCCTCCAGATACTTTATTCATTAAATAGAAATCTTCCACTTTTGGGGCACTTGAAGAACAAGCTACCCTATCCATATGAGCTTATGTTAGCTCATCCTGAGTATATGAGCGCTATAAACACAGCAACTTTACATAGAAGTACTCTCAAAATAAATCTGCCATACTGAACATTAGAAGACCGAATTTTGATGAAGGAATTTCAGTGAATCACAAGAATAAAGGCTGAATGTTGTATTTTTATGCATGCATACATACATATACCCACACAAATATTTATATATATATAAAAAAAAAGATACACCTGACTATGACGATATTAAGCAATAAAATACAGAAGCTACCATATGTAATAGAAATGTTATCTTTGCTAAAGCTTTGATCTCAGGATTTGGACAATTTTAACTAGGTCTGAATATAGAAATTCAGGCCTTCCGTGAATTGTATGGAAGTGTGCAGGAGTTTTCTGATTGTAGTTCTCCCTAAACTGACCATTAGGCTCTTTGTGGAGGTAGTACTTCTTTCCAACATATTGTACTTCTGTGTGAATGCAATTTAATCATTTTAGGTGCCCCAGTTTTTTTACCAAGGCAGTGCAGTTTGTTGCTTTAAATATATTTCTTATTCTCATATGAACTGATTCTGTTTTAAAGCTAGTTTTCAGAGTATGTATTTGTGTAGGCAAATATTTTAGAATTAATAAACTGTTTTGAATGGTTTGTATTGCAAAACATTCCATTTAGCCATAAATTTATTTATTTTAACCTCCACTTATGTTCATGTTCAATTATGTTATTTAGTATACTGAAAAAGAAATGGAAGATAAGAGGATGATGCTTGAAGAGTGTGCTTGCAAAAATTTGAGAATTAGATGGCTAAGTGACTAGTCTGTAATTTCCAGACAGCAGTAGGTCCTGACCATGTTATTTCGAAAGAGTTCAGGCACTTTAAAAAAAAAAAAAGGTCTTTGAAGAAAGCCAGCCTCATTCTTGCATGTTGCAAGTCCGTACTTTTTGTAAATTAAAATTTAATATGTAGCAAGGAGGCTAAAATAATTTGAATTGTCTGATGTTAGTTCTGTATTCAGACTCTGCAGACAGATGCTACAGATCAGCTGATGTACAGGTGCAGAATAACTTGTGCACGTGTCTGCGTCTATATCCTGAGTGTCCAAAAAAAGGGTATAATGCAGTGTGACTAACCCACATTAAGTACACACCTTTGAGTACTTAATGTCTAGATATTCCCTAAGTGATATGTGCAGATATGCCAATGTGAAGTGTTTTAGTGTTTTGAACTCTGTTTATCAGCTCTGTGTTTTAACTTTTGCTTTTTTTTTTTTTACTCTTTTTTTTTTTTGTTAGGGACAGTTCAGCATTAATTTGGCTGGTACAGGTCTGAGAATATCCAGTACAGTTAGGTGGCTTGCTCAGGGCAACTATGCAGCTGCTGACATACAGAAATCCCACGTAAGTCGATGTTGTTTTCCTTTACCTGCACTTATGGCTTGGAATATTATGCCTCCAGAGGTGCAAGTGATGAATCCCTAGTGAAAGCTGGCTGTGAATCAAAAATAGTGTTCAAGGTCTCTGACCCATCTAAGTCGTCTTCCAGATGTAATGCGAAAACTATGTTTAATCACATCGCCCAGAATCTAATCCAGATCAACACTGCCTGCCTACCCTTCTCTTACTGATTTTAAGAGCCTATTGTTACATTAATTAGGTTTATTAAAAGTTTTGAAGATATCTAATAATACTTAAAAAAAAAAATAAACACAACACCCCAAAAACCATTTTATTAAAGATACCCTACTACAGAGGATCCTTACAGATTGCTTGCCTCCAACTTGATTCGTGTGGGAAACCAAAAGGCCAGCTGAACAAGAACAGTAAGCATGCACAGTTTAAGACAACATTGGATGGTAAGCCTGGGAAGAATGTATACAGCGATACTGATAAAGGATCTCTGTGCTCGTTTTGCTAATTTGATGGTGTCTCTTGATACAGTATTTGTAGGTACGATTTGTCAAAAGGTCTATTGTGTGCAAACCTCAAGGAGCTTTTTGCACAACTGTGATTTCAGTTGCTTTTGTTGATTGACCGTTCTCTTGGTCTAATTCCCAGGATGGTACTAAAATATATGGAAGATGTGGAGGATTCTGCGGAAAATGTATTCCTAACACAATTATTGGTCTCCAACTTCAAATGCAGTGAGAACTCTGATGTGGTAAGAGCATCAAAGCAGGGATGTCTGCCATTTAGGTGCAAATTGTAGGTGCTGTGTATATATATATTTTAATTCTTTCGTCTCTGTCATGCTTATTACTGTAATGCTCACTACTAAGAATTCCTGTTTTCTTCAGTGTTTATTCAGGGATGTATTATCTGTTTGTGGGCTAGCAAGTGCATAAATCACAATCAAAAACCTTCAGGTTTTATTGGAGAGGCATTAATTCAATGTACAGTATATATTAGCAAGTAAATTGCACTGAGGTTACTACCATGGGTAACACTCTAAATTGTACCATAATTGTAATACTTTACCTGCAACTAATCAGTGCAATTCTTTATGCAGTATTCGGTAAAATTTATACTCTACTGGTTTTCTTGATCAACTGTACTAAAATATAGAAAGGAAAGAGTTATTGCTATATAGAGAAGACAGGTAATAATTTCAAATACTTCCCATTTTGTGAAACCTTTTAGGAATTATCTGTCAACAACTTACAGCAGAAAAGTATATAACCAACATACTTGAGATAGTTTCTAAAGGTCTGTGTGTTTCTCTGTCAGTAAAGGCATTTTTTCCCAATCCCTTTCATTATATTCTTTGTGGTGCTCAAATACTAGCAGTAATCCTGAGAAGCGTGGTTTAACCTCTGTAGTCTCTATAGCACATGTTAAACATCTAGCCTTAGTTTTGTTGTGGTTACAGGAAAAGAAAATAAGGAAACAAATTGCTTGGAAATCTGGTTTTAAATCCCTGCTTTTCATCCAAGTATACTGTAAAAGCAGTGTGTTCTGTTTACCGTAGCATCGTGTATGTGATTGTATGAATATGATGTGTTAAACACTTTCCATGTACACCTTACTCCTTTGTACTGGCCAATGGCATATTAGTAAAGGCTGTAGTGTGTGTCCCGCTTATATTCAAATTCAACATATTTTTCAATAACCTTAGTGAAAACCCTGGGCAGAGGCATCAAGCCCCACAGTGTTTTTGGTGTCCACCTTTGGCTGAGTTTAACTTTTCAATGTTTGTAAATACCGTTCTAACATCAGCTAGTTGAAATTATTTCTTCCTGAAAAGTAAGCGTATGAAAGAATTACAAGGTTTAAAAAATGATCTAGCTCTTTGATTTGTTGTTTTGTATTACTTTACAGTCCAGAACTGTAGAAATATACGCATATAAAGATAATGCGTTTCAGGGCCAACTCTCAGGTATTCAGAGTAAAATTTTCTACATCCATAATAACATACATTATGTACCAGATAACTATAAATGCTTTTTCTGACAATATGCATTCTGTAAAGCAAATCTTTGTTTTGCATGCCAGTACAATTGGTAGCTATATTAGCCACGAATTAGCAATATGTATTAATTAAAAACAATACTGTACCACAAAAGCGTAAACAGCTACTTTTTAGATAACACATGTAGGTAATTATTTTGTGATCTCTGCATCAGAAATGTATTTTTGCACTATGTGCCTTATATTAGTTGTAAACATTAATAAGAATATAAAACATTATTTTCCTAGAAATGTTTACATTTATAATTAAAATCTTGTAATTTATGAAATATTTATATAATAAATATGCTTGTGTGAATGGTACCGGAGTACTTTTTCTTTTTCTTTTTTTTTTTTTTTTTTTGGTATGAAACGCTTAGAACAAAATGTTGCAAAAACATTTCAACTTGTTTATGCACAGAATAACTACATTCTTAACACCTCTTCACAGTAATATACATTGACTTATCCTGCAATAACTGCCACACAAGCAGGTTATAATCATAGGAATATTTTCCATGGAAGCAAATCCTGCTTCAGAGGTACGAACCGCATGTCTGTGTGCTCTTTCCAGTCATCCCCCCATGTTCACCTGTACCTTTCTCGGGGGGTTACCCTGTAAATCGTTCACTGAAATAATGTAGAAATCTGAAATAATCTTCCTCCTCCTTGTCCTAAACTCAGATCAATTCATTTATAGCATGGACCCCAAACAACTGCTTTGGCAGAAGGGGAACTGCAGTCCTCCTCCATCCCCAGGAGGACCGTTTTCTTTTCAGCCCTGAAACTCCAGCTAAGGGCTAGGAAGCGCTCAGCTCTGCTGCCACAGAATCACTCTGAAAATCCACTACCAAAGAAAGTGATTTTTAACCCAATATTCAACACAGCATGTTTTTATTGGGTAATAATAGTAATTTTTGAGTAAAAATGTATTTTCTATAATTAGAGCAAACCCTGTGGTCCAGTCAACTTCTGCATAAAACAGCACCATATTGTATTGTAGTTTTTTGCATCTTTGCTTTCTTTTATGCTTGCTTTGGAGTTTCAGCCATGGTGTAGGGAGAAAGTATTTGCGTGTTGTGGCATTTTGTGAATTCCTTGTGTTAGGATTTTGATTTTGTTGAGAAAAAGGGCTTAATCAATCACCCCATTTCAACTTACTAACTTTTCATCCTGAAGGCAATTTAAGGAAAACATGAGCCTGATGATCAGCTCTGGTGAATTTGGAGATGTGATGATGCTGACATGTTAGAAGGTCCGCGCAATAATATGAGAATCATGGGTTGTACTTGCAGTATTATATTTCCATCTCCTTTAACTGTCATTGCTGTGGATTTCCATCCCACTGGGCAGCCGAGACGCGTGCCAGAGTAGCGGGGTGCTCCGTGAGAGCGCTGCGAGCTCCACCTCGTGGGTCTGCGTGTGCCGAGCTGCCCACGGCTGGTCACAGTCAGACAGCTTCCAGCTTTGGCTGATGGTTAGGAAACGAAGTGCTCAACTGTCCCATCACTATTCCATATTAAAAAAAAAAAAAAAAAAAAAAAATTAAGGAATGGTAATAGTTAAAGATGGTTGTAATAATGCTTTCTCTTAGATGTCTTCTAGGACGCTTTCAATCCCATCAAAGATAGCATCAAATATTAGGTGACACAACTGCGCTTACTCGCTTGTGTGTATGCACACACACATGTAGTCCTTACCTGAATATTGAATGCTGAAGACGGACTTGATGTAAAAAAATCTTGTTGCTCACCTTTATCTAACAAAATGTCACTCAGCGTGCTATGAAATGGTGTACTGCTATGTGGCAGTACCCGTGACATCTCTTGATGAAGACATCATCTAGATGTCTTTTACCTGTATCTCCCAGAATGTGATATTGGGGAGGTAGCAGAGGAGCTGGAAACCCTGGCTGTGGGTCCACTAACAGTCTCCATCCCAGCTGGATTCATCCTGTCATGGTCTGTGGTGCTACTCTCCGGGGAGAGAGGAGCAGAATATGCCCAGGCGTTTGATCCAGGACGCGTGTAAGTGTGGTGTACGGTCACCAATCCCACGCTCATGGGAAGAGTTGTGACTCTCTGATTTCAGCACGTGTATGTCTATGCAGGTTTCTGAAGGATGATCATGTATTTTTCTTATCTAACTGAAAGGCTATAATATCCAAGACATACTCAAAAAGATGAGGGAAAGCTTTGGGGTTTTTCTTCCACTCCTGTAACCCGGAATATGTTTAACATAACTTCTCAGTTTTGTTGACTATTTGAAATAAAAGTTACACATAACAAGGAGAGGGTTTATGTCTTTGCAGTTTTATTGTAGTAACACATGAGATCCCTGAGAAATTCAGAATCTGAATAAAATATTACTAGCTTGCAAGTGCTTTCTGTATCTTGCAGGGCTTTAAGTAAGATTAGTGAGGACTGTGAGGGGTTGGTTTTTATTGTTTCCATAAAGAAACAAATAGATTCCTGAAAGTTGATGTTCTGTGGCTATCAAAACTGAACTTGAATTAGAAGTGCAACAGAAATATGCTGTAATATTTTAACCTTAATTTAAAAAATAGAGAACAGGAAAAGTATGTACAAAAATAGTTTTGAAGCAAGATAATTGAATATTTAAATAGGAAATTAATATTAAAATGCGCATTTCTATATAAACATTGCAGTTGAGATTTCACAGTAATCCATGTTGGCAGTAAATCTATGTTGGCCTTATTTAAAAATTAAAAAAATTTTCAATTACACTCCAAAGAAGCCCACCAGAACCTTTTCCAAAAATCAACTTTCATGATACAACAGACTTCCATATTTCTACTTTTGTAGAATTTGAACCATGAAAAGCCAAAGGCTGCACTTAAATGCCTTTATACATACTCATGTATTGAACAGTTACATGGTATCTCACTCACTTAATGCAGGTAAAAGTAGAACTGGAGGTCAGCTTGGCAGAAGTGATACGAGATAATGTCCTCCAAGCTAGAGAGTGGCATTCGTATCCTCTGGACCAGCTCATGGCCTCTCTTGTAAGGCCTGCTTTGCTCTCCTGTAGTACTTGGCCATCTTTTCCTGAGCCTTTCTGATTTTTCAAGATGGTCTCACTGCATTAAAAAAAAACTTTGAGGGAGGCCTCATCAGCCTCTCTCTCTCTATTTCCCTGGTGTGCTTTGGAAATAAGCTGAATAGATCATAGAAAAAGTAAGGTATTGCTTTTAAAGTGCGTTCCTGCTTCACAATACTGGCTTTCCTTCAGACGGAGCAGTAACTGTGATGCTAGCAGGGGAAAATTACCTGCATTTTATTCAAACAGAAGAACAAACTGTCTGACTTGGAGTTGAATCTGACATTTAATCTTCTCATCCACAGAGATGGATCCTGTGGTTTTCTTTTGCACAGTTAAGTTTATTTTGCAGTACCATGGCTTGAGAGGCTTTTCTGGGCTTTGTTTATCCTGGCTTTAGAGAAGCAATCTGTGCTCTGTTTCCGATAAATTTCTCCTTATGTTCAGTTATGACAGATATTCCTTTGAATCGGCTGTATAAAAATACTGTAGCAGCAGAGCAGAGCAAAGATCTAACTGTATTTATGTCTATATTCTGCCTTTAAACATGAACAGCTGTGCATACATTAATCTGTCTCATGTCTGACTCTGTGCTGCCATCCAGAACCTTTTCCTTTTTAATAAACAAATGTTTCCT